AGAAGAACATATTGTTAATATTTTTGATAGTGAAAGTGAAAGTGAAAGTGAAAGTGAAAGTGAAAGTGATAGTGACGATGATTTTTAAACTTATAACATTTTTGTTACAAGTTTGAAGAAGAAATAATATATCCAACTAATAAAAAATGGAACCAAGGTCAAGAAAGACTACTCCTACAAAAGAGGATTTGGAATTTATAGTTGATGATGGTTATAGACATGATGAGGACCCAGATTATGTCCCAAACGAAAAATTTATTCTTAAAGGACCAGAGTTTAAGAGATTAACCAGAAATGCTAAAAAACTTGGTGCAGAAACACTTGATTATTCAACCCGAAAAAATAACAAATATATGGCTACACTTCCAGGTGGAAAGAAAGTTCACTTTGGTTCACCAAAATACCCAGACTACACTATTCATAAAGACAAAGATCGACGAGATAAATATCTGTCTCGAGCTACAAAGATTAAAAATAAACAGGGAGAATTAACTTATACTAATCCAGAATCGAGTAACTATTGGTCAGTTCATCTTCTCTGACCTAAAAAATAAAAGTGATTTATGGCTTAAAGATTATCTAAATATTAATAAAAATGCAACTGTCCAGCTACGAAAATATTACCCAAGAGAATATTATCTTTAACGAAGCCAAAGAGTTTAAAGTAAAAAACAACAAGATTAAATACAAACGTATTCCAATTGAAGTCAAATATCCAAATAACAAAAAAGGACCACTGGTAATCGAAACTCCAGTTCTTTTCTCTTTTGGAGTAAATGAAAAGAAAAATCAAGAAACAGGTAAGTTAGTAGGTTATAGTATTCCAGTATGTCTTTGGGCTAAAGATAGTGAACCGAGTAGTAAAGAAAAAGCATTTTTTGATGTTATTAATAATGTAACAACTCTATCTCAGAAACATCTAGAAAATGAATATGGAGTAGATTTAGCATCATCTCTATCTTCACCATTTTATTTTAAAAAAGAAGAATATACAGACAAGAAAGGAAAAAAGAAAACAAAAGTTGATGAATCATCAGCTCCAGTTCTTTATGCAAAACTTATTTACTCTGAGAAATCAAAAAAAATTCTTTCACTATTTAAAACAAAAGGAAAGAAGGATTTAAATCCTTTCAAATATATTAATCAGTATTGCAATGTTAAAATGGCACTAATAATTGAAGGAATATTTATTAGTAA